AGAGTGATTGCCCAGTGAGTTCAGTCCTCAGCTCCGGAAAAAAAAAGCTTTAATTGGCCAGGTATGGGATGCATGCCTGTAGCCCCAGTACTTGGGAGGCAGCGGCAGGAAGATCAATACAGATTTGAGGCTAGCTACTCAATACAGATTTGAGTCCAGGCAAGCCAGGACTACATAATGAGACCCTATTTGTTTTTCTGTTTTGTTTAAAAAAAAAAAAGCTTTAATTGACACACAATATTGGTACATATCTATGCACTGTGGGGCGATTTTCAACATATCTATTATGATCAGGCAGTAGCTCAGAGGTAGAGCTCTTACCTAACAAGTATAAGGCCCTGGGTTCAATACCCAGGACCACACACACACACACAAAATTACTCTATGTTAGCAGGGCGAGGTGGTGCATGCCTTTAATATCAGCACTGGGGAGGCAGAGGCAGGAATATCTCTGTGAGAGCAAGACCAGCCTGGTCTATATAGCAAGTTCCAGGTCAGTTGGGGCTACAGGGAAACCCTGTTTCAGTTTAAAAAAAAATTATTTCATGTGTAATGAATACACCAGGGTTTTATTTGTCACCTCAAACATTCCTTTGTACTAGGAATGTTCAAAATCCTCTCTACTAATTATTTTGAAATATTCAGTTCATGGTTGTCAACCATAGTTACCATATCCTGCTATATAGAACTTTAGAAGTTATTCTTCCAGGACAGCCATGGTGGCTGTCATACCTATAATCCCAGGATTTGGGAGCCTGAAACAGCAGGATTATCATAAATTCAAGACTAGCCTGGGATATATAATGAATTTCAAGGTAGCCTGGCTATAGAGTAAGACTCTGCCTCAAATGAACAAACAAAATATAGAACAGGAGGAAGCGAAGGAAGAGAAGTGAATTCTTCCAACTTAGTTGCACCCTGTACCTGCACCTGCTCTCTACCTTTCTCCAACACCCCTTTCCCTCCCCACCTTTAGCAATCACTATTCTATTATATACCTCTATAAGATCAACTCTTTTAGCTTCCACATCTAAGTGAGAACAGGCAGTATTTGCCTTTCTGTGTCTAACCCACTTCACTTAATGTAATGCTTTCCACTTCCATTCGTGTTACAAATGAAATCTAGCTTTTAAATTAATAAACACTTATTCTAACCTTCCAATAGACATCCCATTTGTGAAGTACATTATTTATTTATTTAATTTATTTTTCATTTATTTGGGTTTTTTTGAGACAGGGTCTCATTTTATAGCCCTGGCTAGCCTGGAACTCGCTATGTAAACCAGGCTGGCCTTGAACTCACAAAGATCTGCCTGGCTCTGCCTTCTGAGTGCTGGGATTAAAGGCCTGTGCCACCATATTTGGCCAAGTACCTATATTTTAAAGCCAAATTCTTATAGCCCAAAAGAAACTTTTTCCTATTAAGGAAAAAACAAAACATAACTTTGCTGGTCATGGTGGCACATGCCTTTAATCCCAGCACTCAGGAGGTAGAGGCAGGCAGATCTCTGTGAGGTTGAGACCAGCCTGGTCCAGGCTAGCTGGAACTACAGGGAGACCTTGTCTCAAAACAAAATAGCAACAAACAATAAAAAATTGTTCACACTTTTTTTTTCAGTCTAAAGGAGTTTTATATGTTATCTGATTTCTTCTGCAATGTGACTTTCCATTTACTTTTCCAAACTAAAATTAAAAGATAATAGATCTGTTTAAATATCACAAATTTAAATAAAATCATTCAGAGAGTACAAATAACTATAACTACAGGGGAAAACAGGCAGTCAATCTACTTTTTAAAAATATGTGAATTTGGATTGTTTAAAATGCTCATTTCTGGGCTGGAGAGATGGCTCAGTGGTTAAGAACACTAGCTACTCGTGCAGAAGACCCAGGTTCAATTCCCAGTACTCACGTGGTGACAAGCAATGGTCCATAACTCCAGTTCCAGGGGATCTGACACCCTCTTCTGCCCTCCTTGGACACTGCACAACACAGGTGCACTTACATACATACAGGCAATACACTCATACACATAAAATAAAAATAATAAAATGTTTAAAAAATATATAAAATGCTCATTTCCCTCATCTGTTCCCTTCACTTTGTTAGACCAGTGTTCTTGATTATTTTAATGTTAGGTATATTACTCCTAATATATGTGACAAATTATGTTAAATACAGAGGCTAAGAAAAAATCAGTCTTGGATCACAATGGCTAGCAGATTTTAATGATATGATCCAGGAATTTTTTTCTTAATGACTTTACCAGGTTTTCCTCTCCTGGATTGCTTTCCTGCCTACTGCTCAGCCTCATTTACATCAGATCCTAGGAATGAGCCTTTCTATCAATGATGGAAGATTAGTATTTAGTCCTTGTATGCACAAAATGTGATGTTTGGCTAACGGAGGGAACTGTGAACAGGACAGCACTTTACACTGAACCCTTTGCAAGGCTGATTAACTGATTAGAACTTCAGTGATTGTTGGGGAAGTTGGAATGTTGCAGGTTCAGAGCCTAATAATAATTTATCTTCAGCTCTTTTGAGCCCCTTAAGAGCCATTCCTTACCTAACATCCTTGTGACTAACAGGTAAAAACTTTTTGGAATGTATTAACAGACCACTGGCTTGCACCAATCAAAGGACTAAGAGCATCTGTGGCCTAAGGCTGAGATTTCCATGCTTTGCTGTAACCTGCCTACCTGATGTCTCCACCTGATGTATTTGAAAAATGCTTTGATTTATGACTTATTTACTATAAAGCCTCATCAAAATGTTACCATGCTGGAACATGGAATTTGGGGCAACCCAAATTTGTTTTCCTGGACCATGGTCATTCATATTTGGCTCCAGAATAAACTATCGGTTGTTTCCTTTGGATGAGAGTTATATTTTGATAATAGTCATCTGCCTTGTCCTAATTCGTCTTTACTTTTACAGCATGTTGTCATTTTTAAGGATTTTTTTAACCATCTCTAACTTATTTGATACTCACAACTGCATTGAAATGGGGAAACTACAGGACGAGCCCACAGGAGCTTGTGGCAGGACTAGCATCAGAGCCCCATGGTCTCAGAACTAGCCTGGCTCCTTCCCAGCATGCCAGGCTGCCAGGCTGCCAGGCTCTGTGGCTTACCTTATGATACCATTTAGGTCTATCTTACCTCCTCTGAGGAACTTAGTTATATTATTAAGGGAAAAAGTATACACTCTTGCCTTTATATCTGGGAAATAAAGACAAATACTATTGGGTCTTAAATGTTAAAACTTTCACAAAAGGGGCTAGAGAGATGGCTCAGCAGTTAAGAGCAGAGGCTCCTCTTTGCAGAGGACCTGGGTTTAGTTCCCAGCACCCACATGACAGCTAACAACCATCTGTAACTCCAGTTCCAGGGGATTCAACACCCTCTTCTGACCTCCTGGGGCATTGCCAACACAGGTGCACTTGCATACATGCAGGCAATATACCTATAAATATATATTTTTTAAATTTCATAAAACTTTAAGCATGTAAAATATAACTGCATCAAAAGCATTAATATTTCTATTTAAGACATTCATTTCTACAGATCTGAGAAGCTTGGGTTGAGAGGACAAGCACACATCACCATGGCTCTGGAAGCTGCCCTCAAGCACTACAAAATGCATCCTTTCTAATCTTACCCATACAGCCTGTGACAGAAATTTGCTGTTTACAATATTGTGCTACCTCCAAACTACTTAGCAACAGGACTTTTAAATATGTTATTTATTATTTTTATTTTATGTGTATGAGTATATTCCCTGCATGTGTGTAAGGGCACCAGTGTCATGCAATGCCCACAGATGTCAGAGGAGGGTATTGGATTCCCTGGAACCGGAGTTATGGACAGTTGTTAGCTGCCATGTGGATACTGGGAACCGAATCCAGGTCCTCTGCAAGAGCAGCCTGTGCTCCTAACTGCTGAGCCATCTCTCTAGCCCCAGGAACAGAACTTTCAAAAGCAAACATTTTCTGGACCACACAATGACTCAGTGGGTAGAAGTGCTTGCCACAAAACCTGACAATCTGAGTTCAATTCCCAGAACCCATGTCAAGGTAGAGAGAGCCACCCCCACAGCTCCACAAGGTTGTTATCTGACCTCTACATGTGCACCATGAGTGATGTGCCCACACCTACCCCCTTCTCTCTCTCTCTCTCTCTGTAACTTTAATTTTTTTTTCAAATAAACATTTTCAGTTTAGCACATTAACTAGAAACGTGTCTGTTGCCACACAAGGTGTCACATTACCTGCTGTTTCTGTTTCCTATACTAAGGCAGGAATATAAGGCAGAGAGAGAGGTCTAGAAGCCTGTCCCAAAGCTGCACAAAACTAGCACATGAAAAAACTACACTGGTAAGGGGAAGGCTGGAAACTCCCAAATGAGCCCAAATGAACCCAGCTGTGGAGCTGTGGCTCGGAAGAATACTAATACACACACACACACACACACTCCCAGGTAGATATCTAAAATGCTGATGAGACATGTGACGTATGAAGTTCTGTTTCTGTGTGGCTCTACATGGTAAAGCCTGCACTCAGTGGGTGATATGAAAGCCTCCATCTTTTGTGCACAGCTACCCTTTGCACTACTAATTTTTTCTAGCTGGGGCCCAGTTCCTCCATGTTGGAAGTGTGTTATCCCTTAATAAATTCTGTTTGTGCTAAAACCACATGTCTGTTCAATCCCTTGTTCAGAGACAGAAAAACCTGGAACTTCTTGGGAGATCCCTCTGACCCCTGATATCTATATGATAGAATTCTGCATGAGCTGAGTCACACTAGTCAATCAAAACAACATTCAGTGACGGTAAAGGCAGTTTGTATAAAGTTAAAGAAGGTGCTGAGCCCTTTTGACCTGCTTTAGAAAGACATCCACATGCCTGGTTCTAGGTTTGGCATGTAGGTGTATGCAGGAAACTGGAGGGCACCGGCTACTGGAAGAGGACAATGATCATCATCACAAAGAGATGGTTTTCACTGAAATCTTTGTTTCTTGTTCATGAATTATTAGAAAGATTGTCCAGGATATTGATTCTCATCAGGTATTTGTTTTTTGCAACTTCATGAAGGGTTACGTTGCCTGATGCAATTTCATCCCAGGATGGAAGACTCAAGACTGTCTGCAGCCATGGATTTTCTCTTAGCTCCGAGGCCGAGTACCACCATTCCTGACAGGAGGGAAAGAGAGCCTATGATGACTGCTGTGGTCTGAATGTGTGCATATTCCCCTACGATTCATGTAGGAACCCAACCCCCAAGGCGATAGTATTGAAAGTTCGGGCTTTTACGTGATTAGGTTATGAGGGATTTGGGATTCATGTCCTTACAAAAGACACTAGGGAATAACCTTTCCCCCTTCCATTCTTTGCACAGGTAGGCAGATAGAAAGACAGAAAACTAAGAGGACATCAGAAGGGAAGGAGTCTCTCACCCAGGAATCTGGTTGAAGTCAAGAATTCTGGTGCAGGGGGCTGGAAAGATACCTCAGTGGTCAAGAGTACATATCACTCTTCCAGAGAACCTGAATTCAGTTCAGTTCCCAGCACCCATGTTGGGCCACTCACAACTGCCTGTAACTCCAACCTCAGAGGATCTGACACCTCTGGCTTCCTCAGAACCAACCCCCCCAAGACCCCTGGCATATACTCACACAGACACACATAAATAAAAATTTAAAAATAAAATAAAAATAAATTTTAAAAAGAATTCTAGCCAGGCATGGTGGCTCACGCCTGTAGTCCCAGCACTTGGGAGGCAGAGGCAGGCAGATCTCTGTTGAGTTCAAGGCCAGCCTGGTCTACATAGTGAGTTCCAGGACAGCTGGGGCTTACAGGGAGACCCTGCTTCAAACAGACCCCCCCCCAAAAAAAAAAAGAATTCCAGTGCAGTTAACAAACATATTGTGAAGGTTTCCTACATTGTGGCAATGTTCCTTTTCTATAGAGACACTTTAAATGCAAATATTAAAATAGTATACTCCATGCATGACCTTTGAATATGGTCTAACCCCTTTCTCAGCTGTAAAAGTGAAACTTTCTGAGAACCCTACAAAAAAGACCATAAACTTCATTTGCAATTTCAAAAAGTTTTACTTCCTTGTGCAGTCCTTATGACATAGGGTGTCACTTGTAGTGTGACCCAATGTGCCTCCAGGGGCCACTTTTGAACAATGAAATTTCAGAAGCCACAAAATCCTGTGTATGCCCATTGTTGCTGCTTAAGTACCATTCCCTCATGAAAAGCTCACACACATACTAGTGTGTGTACTACTGTTTTCTTCCTAAGTGCTTCTCTATTAACGCCTTCTTCTTTTTAAATAAATTTTATTTATTATTTTATGTGTATGAGTGTATTGCCTGCATGTAAGTGCACCCATGCACTGCAATGCCCAAGGAGGTCAGAAGAAGGTGTCAGATCCCCTGGAACTGGAGTTAGCCACTATGTAGATGCTGGAAATTGAACCTGGGTCCTCTGTAAGAGAAGCCAGTGCTCTTAACCACTGAGACATCTTTCCAGCCTCTAAAGTCTCTTCTTTTTAAAAAAAATTTTTTTTTATTATTTTTATTTTATGTGTATGCGTGTATTGCCTGCATGTAGGTAAGTGCACCTGTATCGTGCAATGCTGACGGAGGACAGAAGAGGCTGTCGGATCCCCTGGGACTGGAGTTACAGACAGTTGTTAGCTGCCATGTGGGTGCTGGGATTTGAACCCTGGTCTTCTGAAAGAACAACCAGTGTTCTTAACCACTGAGCCATCTCTCCAGCCCCCTAAAGTCTCTTCTTAATAAACTCCAACCCTACTTTGTACTAACTCATGCTGAAATTTTTTCCTGCAGCAAAGTCAGGAATCTCAGCTTCATCTGAGTGGGGGTCTTTGAAAAGAACACTCAGTACTGGTGGCAGGGCAGGGTTGTGTCTCTGGCTTCTGTTGTTGCAACTACTGCCAGGGGCATAGCTAGAGGCACCATCAGTGACAAAGCCATCCTCATCAGATACTGAACTCTAGCTCCTTGGTCTTAGACTTGCCAGCTTCTCAAACTTTGAACAGGAACTTTCTATTTCTCATAAGGTATACAAGCTAGGGTAGTTTGTGATAGCAGCCCAAGTGAACCAAGACAATGGCCTTCCATGCCTGTCAAAACCTGACTGACTAGAAAGTAGCTTCTGGGGTTCCCTCAGAAGGGTGAGCAACTGCACTGCAGCCTGCTGGGTGATGGTACATACTTTGCTCATGGTCAGCCAGCATTTCTCCAGCAAATTCCCCTGCACTTCAGAGAGCTGCAAGGCCATGTTTAGGAAGAAGTCACAACTGTTCCCGTTTCCCATTAGTATGCAGACATAAGCCATCAGATGGTAGAGCCTCGGGTAGAAGACAGGGCCACTGGTATTTTGAGTTATAAGAATCTCTAAGGTCTAAAGAAAACAAACAATAAATAGAATCAGGGGATGGGGTTACAACTCAAACAGTGAAGAGCTTGCCAACCTGAGATCAATTCCCAGAATCCATGTTAGAAAAAACCTGGCACGGTGGCACACACTTATAATCCCAGTTCTAGGGAGGCAGAGACAGGTGGATCTCTGCAGTTCACTGGCCAGCCAGCTTAGCCTACTTGGCAAGCTCCAGGAGACTGATAAAACTGTCACAAACAAACAAACAAACAAACAGACAGGTGGACAGCACGTGAGGAAACAATACCATTTTCTTCTTCCACCTTTATGTGGTTCCATACATTGAACTCAGGTTGTCAGGCTTGTAGGACAAGGACTTTTCCCTTAAAAAAATTTCATTTTGAGACAGGGTCTCCCTGTAACCCCAGCTGGCCTGGAACTCACTATGTAGACCACACTGGCCTCGAATTCAGAGATTCACCAGCCTCTGCTTCCCAAATGCTGAGATTAAAGGTGTGCACCACCATGCCAGGTTCTTTCCCTTTTTAAAAATTAACTCTAGGACCCATGCCCCATAGGACTTTCCTCCTCAGTCAAACCTATCTGAAATGCCCTCAAAGACACACCCAGAAGTGTCTCCTAGGGGATTCCAAATTTCGCCAAAATGACGCTAAAGATTAACCATCAGAATTTCAAAGTCACCACTTGGTCCCAACAAGTAAAATGCTGAACAGACTAAAATATCTGCAATTCTTCTTGACTCCATTAGAGGACCAAGAACAAATTGTCGCCCTCAGGATTAGAAAGACAAACAGGTGAACACAGGGAGTCAAATGGAATATGCTGGGGAGCTGGTGCCAGTGTAGGAAAACCTGATGAACTGCAGAGACAAGAGTAGGTGAGGCTGAGAGCTAAAACTTCCAGGGAGAAAAAGCTTCCCAGAAGACAGCAGAGTAGAAAGCATTCAGATCTGTCTCCCACCCAGGCCAATAAGAGGACTTATGAGCAGAGTCTGTCAGAATGTGACTCTTGGAGAGCTTTGGAGTCTATTGAAGGTTTGTAACTGCAGAGTAAAGGTTTGAATGATAAACTGATGTAAATTTTGGTCAACATCAGCTCAGCACAGCAGCCCTGAGACAAGCAGCTCCGCACATGTTCAGGAATCAACCTAATCAAAATTTGCTAGAACCAGAGGAGACAAAAAGGATCTTTTCTTAAATACCAGCACACCAGAGCTGTGCACGACTGATGGCTCTGTGGCCCTTGCTGTACTCCCCCTCCCTTGCTATAACCCCTCCTCCTGCTGAAGGGACTTTTCAAGGGACTGATAGGATCAATGTGCTTCCCCTCACTTCCTTTTGTTCTTTTTTCCCCTTGAGAGTCAGACAATCAAATACTAAGCCATTCAAAAGCTGCTTCCTATGTGGAAAAACTTGGGAAGTGCCTGTGCATGCTGAGACAAAGGCACTGGACCAGAAACCCTGGGTTTACACTCCTTGCACAGGCACAGCTTAAACCAACAAAAGATAACAAACAACAAACACACAAACTGCGTCAACAAAAAACTCCAGCAAACTCCAAGGAAGGGGAAGAGGTTGGAATCCTAAGCTACCACATTGTCAGATGCAAGTCTAATAGCAGACCAAAACATAGGGTGTTGTTCACAGGAGGCAAGCAGTCTTCTGCTGAGGTAGAGGTAGACTCCAGGCCTCAAAGAAGATTTTGAATTTTAACAATGTTACCAAATACCAGAGACAAAGAAAGATTGTTCTACATTAATAAAAGGTTTGCTGTAGCAAGGAGACATAACAATCACACACATTTAATGCATCTGATAACAAGACCATCAAAATATATGAAATAAAACAGGACAGAATTGAAGGTTGAAACAGAAAGCTCTATATTAGCTCAATACCCAATTCTCAATACTGGGTAGAACAATCAGAGAGAAGGAAATAAAAGACTTAATCAGCCAACTAGATTTAGCAAGCATACAGTCAACAGGTACAGAATCTTAGTTTACAAGCTGAAAAGAGGTACAGAGATCTAGGGGTGATTGTGATGGATGCTCAACATAGATGTATCTAATGCCACTGAATTATATACATAGAATAGTTAACATGCTGTATTTTATGTTTATTTGGACATAATTTTTTAAAATATTTTTATTACTTTTATTTTATATGTATGAGTGTATTATCTGCATGTATGTAAGTGTGCCTATGTTGTGCGATGCCCACAGAGATCAGAAGAGAGCTTCGGATCCCCTGGAACTGAAGTTAGAACAGTTGTTAGCTATCATGTGAGTGCTCGGACCTGAACCTGGGTCCTCTACAAGAGCAACCAGTGCTCTTAACTGCTAAGCCATCTCTCCAGCCCTGTTGGACACAAGTTTTAAAAGCTGGAGAAAAAATAAGTTTAGAAAACTTCCCTCATATTTTCATGCCTTGCCTCCAAGAGCTTGACTGAGGTTTTCACAGCAAATATTAGAGGAAAATTATGTTTCCATCAGAGGAAGGCAAAAGTGTTCATTTTGAAATACTTTAAAGCAACTGTTCTTGACATAGAGAAACTGTTTAAGCAGAGCCCAGCCTTTAGGGTTTAATCAGAGTCTAACTGATCAGGAAGAAGGGAAATACCCACAGTAGCCGGCTCTGGCCATCCTGAGTCCTCTAAGAGAGAGGCTACTGGAAAGTACTGTGCAGTCCAAGTCCAGAGACAAAGGCTCACTAATGACTAAGTCTAATCAGAAGTCTATGCAAAGTGTCTCCTCCCCTCACAGCTTGGTCCATTACTAAAGAACTGTTTATACTGCTTTCTTTTACCACCTACATCCAGTTTAGCGATTAAGTAAAAATTGGTATGCTAAAAAAGATATACTAAAAGGCAATCTGGAGAGGCAGAGCTAACCTACAAATCTGACATGTCAGGGGATGTGAGAATTATCAGACCAGGAATTTAAAACAATTCTGCTTAATGTTGTAAGCGCTCTAATGGGTAAAGTAGAGAACAAGCAAGGGCAACATAGGCAGAGAGATGGAAATCTCAAGGAAGAACCAGAAAAGATGCTTGAGATGAAAAGCCTGTGTGTGCACACATACACACACATACGTACTAACTTTTTGGGAAGGTTATCTTCGAAAGCCTCTAGTTTAACCAGACATGGTGGCCCCTGCCTTTAAACCCAGCATCCGGAGGCAGAAACAGGTAGATCTCTATGAGATTGAAGCCACCCTGGTCTACATAGCAAGTTCCAGGCCAACGGGGGCTACAGGGAGACCCTGTCTTGACATCCCCCATCCCTTAGAAAAAGCAAAAAAAAAAAATTCTAGTCTAGATGTATATGAATTCTGTAATAAGACAATTAGTCAGGGAGGTAGATGGGAAGCCACTGAAGGAAAGGGTTGCGTTGGAGAGCAGGGAGCAGCCTTGCCTTGATTATCTCGATCCCACTGTCCTGTGCATTGTCAGCCTGCTCTTCAATTTGTTTCTGAAGGTGGAGAACTTGCCCCTCCATGTACCTAGAGATTCCTTCATAGTAAAGAAGTGTTGGGGTTCTTCTTGTCACTAGATTTTTAGCTTTATTGGAAAATTTGTAAAAGTTGTCCCATTCTTGAAGTCTGCCATACCTGTATCACCCAAGAAGAAATTAAAATCAGTATGGTTCTCTGGATGGGCCAATTTCATAACAGATCTCCCTGGATATCCACACGGAAGGTGATCTGGAGTCCAGAAGATCTGGGCAGAGTCTATTCCCTTAGGAGCACACAGGTAGCACAGTCACTTGGCATGCTATTTGGACCCCAGGAAGTAGAACAGAAGACACATTTGGTCTGGAACTTGAAGAAGAGGCTCCAGTTCCAAGAGAGACAACATAGGTCAGCACTACTCAGAGTGGCCAGCAGCCTGGCCTCCATGTCTCCTGGGTTTTCATTCTAAATGCAGATTTCCAAACGTAGTCCAAATCTACTGAATCAGACAGGGTCTGGGAGTGAAGGCCAGGAATTTGAGCTGACAAGCTTTCTAGATGATTTTTTTTTTTTTGAGACAGAGTCTCCCTGCAGGCCCAGCTGGCCTGGAACTTACTATGTAGACCAGGCTGAAAACATACCCACTGCCTCTGCCTCCCGAGTGCTGGGGCTAAAGGTGTATGCCACAACACTTGACTTTCTAGATGATTCTTAAGGCTACTAAATGTGAGAAGCATTGGTCTGGACATACTATTGAAAGAATTTTCCAGGTAAGATAGAGAATAATGAGAAATCAGGATCATTGCTGGGCTTTAGTCTTTGAAAATTAACTTGCATGGGTAAATCAATTTGACCTTGAATCCTTTTTTTTTTTTTTTTTAATGTGTATGAGTGTTATGTCTGCATGTAGGTAAGTGCACCCATGTCATGCAATGCCCACAAAGGACAGAAGAGGCTGTCAGATCCCCTGGAACTGGAGTTACAGACAGTTATTAGCCACCATGTGGGTGCTGGGATTCGAACCCGGGTCTTCTGCAAGAACAGTCAGTGCTCTTAACCGCTGAGCCATCTCTCCAGTCCTTGACTTTGAATCTTAACTGGCAAAGGTAATTTTTTGGATTTTAAGTTCTCCCAAGTAATTATTTTGTTTTTGAAGCAGGGTCTCATGTAACCTAGCCTGGCCTTGAACTCCTTCCAAATTCCTGATCCTCTTGCCTCCATTTCCCAATGCTGGGATCATAGGTGTGAACCACTACTCCTGGGTTCAGGTGATTTTATAACACTTGCTCTTCAAGTTTGGAGCTTCTCTAATTTGTGGCATTTAATCTCATCACCAAACTTTCGATAGGCCATTGAAACAACATGGCGGTATATAACACAAGATAGAAAATAGAATGGGGGTGGGTACGTTTTCAGTCTGGGAGATAATCATGAAATTTGACTCGTGTTTTCTGATTTAGTGTGGAGATGTACTGTTCTTCTCATTCCTTGAAAAAATGGCCCCAGCTACAGGCTTATTAAGTTAAAAAACTTAGCACTTTTCCCCACAACAGAAGAAGTACTGCAGTGGAGCAAAGTGCCAGGTCTATTTCTCTGTTCCACTCACTCCTCCAATCAGGAGTGGTTCATTTGATTGTTGATTTGGAAGAGACAAACAAGCACAGCTCTGTACCTGTCTCTCTGTTATCATCAGAGTCAGTGAGGCTAACAGGGAATCTGACACTAAGCTCTCTACCACAAGACAGAAAGAGGCTTGTCTTGATGGGGAAGCCTACAGTTTCCAGAACTGCCAACTGCTGAGCAGGTAAGTCTAATCCTGGGGTTTAGGATTATTCGTCCACAGATATTATATAAGCCGTATCCTCCCATCAGCTCCTCAAAAGTAATATGTTTCCATCTGCTTACATCTGGGCAGGTTTACGTGGGCAAGTGGTGCCATTTCTGCATGTACTTAAACCATAGCACTTCTCATCCCTTACCTCTCATTCCAGCATAGCATCACTCAATAGCCCTTTGCTCTAGGACCACCCACTGCATCCCATATACAGCAAACATGGATACTCAAACTCAAAGATGCCCAAAGCACTTATGTAAAATGGTGCAGTCTTTGAAAATAACCTGTGCACATCGTCCTGTATTGTCACTAGATAACTGATAATACCTACTGCAATATAACCCAATGTAAACAGTTGAAATACTTATTAGAGACTAATGACAAGAAAAAGGTCTACACATATTTAAAACACTTGCAGTTTTCCCCCAAAATAGCTTCTCTCTGAGTTTTGTTGAATTCACAGATACAGAACCTGTGGACAAGGGAGCGAGCTATAGTCTAATCTTTGTATTGTTTGCTGTATTGTATACAATTTAGACAAAACCATTTTTCTGTCCCTGGCTGAGAATGAACAAGAGAATCCCTCGGGTGTCTTTATGAATATTCTCTGACACCTTTATGCTATCTCAGATGGAAACTGAGAACACTTTTTCTCTTAAAAAAAAATTTCAGGGCTGGAGATGGCTCAGCAGTTAAGAGCACTGGCTGCTCTTGCAGAGGACCCGGATTCAGTTCCCAGTACCCACATGGCAGCTAACAACTGTCCATAAACTCCAGTTCCAGAGGATCTATCGGACCTCTTCTGACTTCCGAAGTCATTGCACAACACAGGTGCACTTACACACATGCAGGTAATATACTCATATACATACAAAAATAAATAAATAAAATATTAAAATATTTAAAAAAATAAAAATGTCATAGACCTATTCTTCAGGATTTAACATTTTCTCTTTGGAAACAATGATGTGGAACACATTATTACCAGACAGCTATGCATGAATAAAGTCCCAGGAGAAGTCCATTCTGGAACTTGAGGATTCTGTTGTCTTCATTATGGTGTATGAATTCCAAACATTCATCAAATGTCCTGTAAATAAAGCCTGAAAAGGAGAGAAACAGAAGTGATTTTGCTGGTATTTAACATTTTCTCTTTGGAAACAATGATGTGGAACACATTATTACCAGACAGCTATGCATGAATAAAGTCCCAGGAGAAGTCCATTCTGGAACTTGAGGATTCTGTTGTCTTCATTATGGTGTATGAATTCCAAACATTCATCAAATGTCCTGTAAATAAAGCCTGAAAAGGAGAGAAACAGAAGTGATATTGCTGGTAGCATGGGGAAGGGGGGGGGGTGTTGTCTTTCTAACTTCAGAGGTCCCAATAGGATTTCCTACTGCACAGAGAGGAGTCTTTGATTATACATTCAAAGGGTCCTGTGGCTTGCAACAATCACATCACTGCGTTGGCCTGTGTTTGCTGAGTCCTAGCTGTATTGTGGTTTGCTGTGGTCACCGCCACCAGCAGCCGCTCCTTTGTTCTCACGGACGTCGAGGCTGCTCCTCCGTTCGCCCTGGGCTGAGGCCACTCTTCTGCTCACCCTGCGCTGCCTCCTGTCATCGCCGCTTCTACCCGGTCCCAGACCCCAGAGCTGGTGAGGAGACTGTGTCAGCAGAGCCGCATTCAGACACAGGAGACCAGGTTCAGTGACACAGGTCTGCTTTATTGCAGAAGGCACAAGCTTATATAGGGGTGGTGGTCCAATCACAGCACAGCAAGTAGGATACCTTATTAGCATAACAGGTTTAGCATCCTATTAGCATAACAGACTTAACACCTTATCACAGAATAGTGGGTAGGATGCCTCATTAGCATACTGGGTTTCAGATTACAGAGCCTGGATTCCTGGAATGACGTGACCTTGACTGTTGCAATATCTAAGTGTTGCAATTTTGAATTTCAAGGGTGGTGATTAGGGAGTGGCGAGCTCTAGGCATCAGTCTCATGATCTGCCAATAGGAGCAAATGTCACAAGGCATTCCTTGTGGCTCCAGCGGTCGGCAGTTGCCTCAGGCCTGCTGTATGGCTGTCAATAAGACTTTCACCCTAGGCTCAAGCCTGTCTCCCACAGTTTGCTATAGGCATAGAACCTAATTCCATAATATAGACCAGGCAGGAGCAGAGTTTAAACCAATCTTTCCTAGCCCAACAGTAGAGAGTCTTGGCAACCCAGGACTTCTCCATTTTTTTCACCCATGGTTCCTTGATCCATGGCAATTTAAATTTCCCCTTTGTAAATCACGTGTGTGGAGAACCCCTGATTTGCCCCTTTGGTTTAATATAAGGGACGCCTACTTGATGCCACTCAAGGTTGTCAGGAAAGAACTTATTTTCCAAATCATCAACAGTTATTAATGCCTGTAAACTCTCATTATTAATAGTCCAACCCTTGTGGGAATGTCCTTTTTTTATTTTAAACAGAATCTCATTATGTAGCCCTGGCTGGCCTAGAACTCACAGAGATCTGCCAGCCTCTGGCTCTGCCCTCTGAGTGCTGATGTCCAACCTTTTAACATTGCAACATACATTGTCACCTACAACATTCATGTTTGAGAACCATGCAATCAAGTCACTGAAAATATCTCATAATCTTTTAAATAAGTCTATGATTTTCTGTTGAGTCACATACATAGCTATCTTCTGCATGTAGCCTGCAGACATTCCTCACTCGATATTATAATATGCATGAAGTTCCTAAGGATATCTTGCAAAAATAAATACTCCTAGTAAAAGGCATAACATTACAGAATGCTAATGACTACCACTTACACATAAGTTGATCTGACAGCTTAGACCCAAGAGGTTCCTCCAGATTGAATTATCCTTTGTTGCTGCTCCCTTATAATCTTGGCACCTACCAAACAGCTCCTTAGATCACATCAACAGTCTGATCACATTTCCATCTCTGAACACTGCCTATGTAGTCTCAAAGCCCAAGCCCAAGAGCTGGGCCTCTTTGCACCAGCACAAGGACCATACCTCCAACTTCTTTTAATTTCCCAAGCTATACTTACCAGAATAAAGCATGATGTCCAAGCAGACAAAATAGAAAAATGCCTTGCTGAAGATGTGGTCTTCCTTTACAGAAAGATCCCATAGCTGTTCCAGCACCTGGACCAAATCGTTGTGTCTATGGAACAAAAATGGTGATGGGATTTAAAAGTGGTGGAGAGGAAAGGATGAAGTTCAGTCCTGTTTTAGTCTTGGTTTTGACCAGTGACTCAGAACCAAATACAACTCTTTTTTTTTTTTTTTTTTGTCTTTTTGAGACAGGGTCTCCCTGTAGCCCCGGCTGGACTGGGACTCTCTATGTAGACCAGGTCAGCCTTGAACTCATAGAGATCCAGCTGCTTCTGCCTCCTGAGTGCTGGGATTATTGAATACAACTCTTAAACAGATTTCAAACCTTCTAACCCACCCCTGCTCAGGACTATAACCTAAATCTCCAATTGGATTTCCCCCCTCAAACTGTTCTTTTAGAGCTCGTCTGTATTCAGGGGACCAGAGCCCAGCCAAATTGACCAGGATATCCAGTCTTGGTTTCTGTTCTCTGGGCATATTCGGTGCTATAGAATTTTCTTCTTTCCTTGTACCTGGCAAGGGTAGAGGCCTGATTTTTACAACAGAGATTCCCTTGCTGTCCCGGGCCAGAGCAACCAAACTAGGGATGATTTATGTGAAATAATTATGTTAAAAGAACAAAAAAAATGCCATTGCTAGGTAAAAGATGATAATTACATTATCTTACCATGAACATTACTCCCTTTCCTATGCTATGGCCAACGTAAAATGAGCCCAGAACTGTCAATAATACTGCTTCCTGTCCTAGTTAGCTTTGCTTGTCAACCTAACCTAGTCTAGAGTCATCTGAAAGCCTTGAGGAATGGCCTGTTAGCCTGTCGTGGGGTGATTGTCTGATTATTAATTGATGCCAGAGGGCCCAGCCCACAGTGGCAGGTACTATCCCTAGGCAGGTGAGCCTGGGCTATATAAGCTAAGCTAAGTGTGGGCTAGACAGCAAACCAGCAAGCAACTCTCCTTCCTGGCTTCAATTCAGGCTCCTGCTTGAGTTCCTGCCCTGACTTCCCCTAGTGATGGACTGTGACCTAGAAGTATAAGCTGAAATGAATCCTTTCCTCACTAAAGTTACTTTTGGTCAGAATGTTTTATCACAGCAACAGAAAAGAAACTAGAATGCTTCCTAACCTTGAAAAATGTTTTGAGACAAATACCTGCTTTTCAAGAAGAGAGATTTACTCAGTCTGCAGAGAACCATGTGGTATTTGTTGGGATTCTGGAGAAGTGCCCACATCCTATGGGCTCGAGAGCCTGGGAAGAAAGCAATCACAGTGTGTTTGAGGTCATTATTTGTGCCTTCATGCCTTTTCTATCTTGACCAGCCCTTACCTAACTCAATGGCCAAATCCAGATGACCTGTTAAGAATTTGATATAGCCCAATGTGTCAGCCACATATGCCATGATTTCGATGCCCTCGCCTTTCAGGGGGAGGTTTAAGAGCTGCTCCATGACCATGATTTCATATTTGAACCATACATCCTGATAATCAGCCAAATGGTGATACAGTGAGTAGTCCAGGAAAGCCTTGATGATCTGAAACAGCAGCAACAGAGGAGAGAACAGGAGAGACTCAGGAAGAAGCCCAAAGTGAAAGACCCAGGGCCTACCAGGAAACACTGTTCAGTAAGCTTGGAATAGTGCTTGTCATTGGGCCAAAGCTATGGGAAGATATAGAAATCAAACTTGGCTTCTGCCATGTATTTACTGGGTCTTCCAGGACCAGCTCCATGGCCTCTCCTTCATATAGTATTTAATACAGTGAAATATAATCATTTTAATTTCTATGAAACATAAAAAGAGCTTAGACTGCACAGCACAAAGACAGAAAGGAAACAGTAAATCTAAACAGTAGGTGCTTATTTTCTGGGCTACAAGGGGACACTGGGGAAGAAGACGGATTATCCATTTTTATGGGTTGCTTTTATAATATAGCAAAAAATGAAGGTTGGCTTGGTTGATCTGGTTCATTTGCTTCATAAGTAAATAAAATAAGGACTGATTTTAAGCATAATTGGAGACTGAAGAGATGGTTACTCTTTTTTAAAAAAAATTTTAATAACTACATGATTAGAAGAAGCATTTCACTACAGCTTTAACATATTCAGTATCAGACTCCAGCGCAAGAGTACATCTCTTTCACAAGTGGCTGTAAGTTTCTAGGTTCACAGTTGAATTAATACAGTTATACAATATTGAACTCAGTA